ACGTTAGGAAACAAAACTTCAAGACCACGGCCACACAGCCCGGAAGACCCACACGAGCCATAGAACTGGTGTTCTTGAAGGCTCCAGTTCTTAATAATCACCATGAAACACTTCTCAAAAACTATTCAAGTGAAATCCATTGTTGAACAATGCAAGAATCTAATGGAGAATCTCTCTGATTGTACCTAATTTGCTATTTCTGAAATATAATCTGAACCAAACAGTTCCCCTTGTTGAACATGTGCAGAGCTTGATTGGTCATGAGGATCTGCCTCTCGCTTGAAAAGAAATGTCTCCTTTCACTCAGAAGGGAGTGCAAACACTTCTTACTCAGCTTTTCTTGCCTTTTCTGTAGCTAAAGGAGGCAAAAAAAGGATAAAAAGGATAAATCTTCTCTCAGAATTAAAATATCTTTTCAAAAAAAGATTAAAGTCAATTAATGTAAAATAAGTCACCAAAATAAACTTCAAGAGCCTTTAATATAAGCTTCAGGAGCTGAGAGTTGAAGATAGTGGAAAAAGGGGGAAAGAATGATCTTGGCAGGTGCAGAATCTCTCTCAGTTGATGAACATCCAAGCAAGAATACAGATTCAGACACAGGTAGAAAAAACATTTGACTGAGTTTCTGAAGCAACATCTGAGATCAGCCCTTAACATGCAGAAATCCAACTGCTGAATGTGCTACTAGGTTCCTTTCAAACCTTTGCCAAGGAGGTCTAGTGCTTCAGGAGTTGGACCAGGATTGTAGAGACAAGGGATTGATAGCCCCCTTCGGCAGTGTTCAGGCCAATTGCTTACTCTGAGTCAACCCTATTTATCTACGGGGTTGTTCTGGGAGAACGATTGAAGGAACTAGTGCTAGGGAGAAAAGGCAAAACTTAAAGAGTCCAAAGAAAAATGATGTTGTGCACAACCACACTGGAAGAATTCTGCCCACTGATGTCAAAAGGGAACACAAAGCTCCTCATAGAGACACAACATTGTTCCATCACTCTACAGATGAATGGGAAGCTCATGAAGACAAAAATCTTTGCTCACCTTGAGCATTACTATGGATGCCTTTGCTCTACTGGTCTGTTCTGCTAGAGGAACTCTGCCTCAGGTTGATAGATGGGTCACTTGACCAGGAGAAGAACCCAAACCTCAGTAACCTCCAGAGCTTCTCAACCCAGAAAATGTTGGCCATGTCCCGCCATTTGCTGTGACCCTTCAACATTCAGGGTCTCCAACCCTCCTGAAAGTTCAAAAGAGTGGCAATGGAATAAAACCTTTTTGACCAAGAAATGGGGACTCTGTCTAGGCCAAGGCAGTCCTGGAGCAGAGGGGCAGCCCAGCAGATGAGGGGTCAGAAGGGTGACACTGTCTGAAAGACCCCACAGATAGGGAGAATAAAAGGGACAGGATTGGTTGCTCCTTCTTCCAAGGAAAATCTCAAAAAAGAAAGAC